ATTCTTTTAAATAAAAACAACAACCTAGCAATACAATGTACATGTGCTTCGGTGATTTTTAGAAACATTGGAATCAAACAGGGATAGAGTTATCGTTCTTGTTTAAAGTAGTTCTGATGTTCATGCACCAATATGAAATCCTTCCAGAGGGGCACGAGTCGCTATTCGCCTTGTCCCGGAATAACACGAGTTGGTCACGAATGCTATAGAAGATGACTTATTATTAAACCTGCGGGTAAGAAAGATCCAGTCACCCCAGATATGTTGTTAAAGCTGGTAGATATGTTTGGCGGAAGCAATGCTACTTTGCTAGATTTAAGGTGCTAATCACTGTCTTTGCTCTCATACGCAGGAATTTTCAGATTATCCGAAGTACTGAACATAGAAAGAAATGACATTACTTTTGAAAAAAGCTATATAAGTATATTTCTCAGTAAAAGTAAAACTAACGTTTACAAAGATGGGAGAAGTGTTTTGATCTCTGTCACTAGTTCTCCTACATGTCTAGTTACTATGTTAAAATGATATCTGAAGGCTAGGGCTGGATATTGGCCAGATTTTCATATTGCGATACATTGCAATAATTTAAGAGATATCGCAATACATATTGTGATATATTGACTGGAAGGTTTCATCTTCTCAGTTGCTGTTACACCATACGTTCAGGCTCCCCATCCCCATTGTGTATGGCTGTATGCCAATCGTTTACAGATAAATAAAATGATATAGAGACTTAAAGTGGAATGTTATGATAAAGCTAATGGTATATCCTGATTTTCATGATCAGGGTTGTTTGCTTCAACAGAATGCAGTATGCAGTTATTGTTTCTGTATGTCAGTGATTCATTCAGATTCAACTCCAATATAACATGTGTAAACGTGAATTATTGCAAAATGAAACACAAACATAGTTGAATTACTTGAGCTTAAAATCGCATGTGACCTCAAATAACTAACATCCTTGACAAGAATGGCATATGCAGTCCTACAACATTTATAAGACTTAGACCTTTATGATAAATTGATCAGATATGTCCAATTATGAATCAACCAAAACAAACAAAATACTGTAAATAGTGAAATGGTCACTACTATTAAGTCCAAAGAATAAAATTGGTCCATTTGAGGCCACTTAATTCCTCCAAATATGAAACCATTCAAACCCACAAAACGTAAAGCATTTGGTAGAATATTATAATGATACTTCCATTTGTAAAATGTTACATGAATCCACCAGAAATAAAAGTATATTTGGCACGTTTAGAGCACATATTTTCGCTATTGAAATCAAGGGTAGATAATTCAAGGGAGCTAACTCTGGATGACCCAATATATTGCAGAATCTGAACCATATCGCAATAATCGTATCGCAAGATACTGTACCGGTATGTACCGGTTTACCGGTAATATTGCACAGCCCTACTTGAGGCAGCAGATGTAGTCGATTCTTCCGAAGATTACATTTTTAGACATATGTGTTATTGTAACTGTAAATCTCAAATAAAAGTTGAAAGGAAAATCTCCGCTGTCCTGTGCTAGAGAAATATTCCTGGATAAAATCACGTTCATTGGCGAAGATTCCACTTAAATTGGATTGCACAGTTTTCGCTCAGGGGGAGCCAGTGCTGCGGCTAACGCCGGTGTACCGGAGAGATTGTTCAAAAGACATGGCCGCTGGGCTTCAGAGACGGCAAAAGATTGTTACGTGAGAGACGATGTTAATTCATTACTCTTAGTGCCTACGAATTTCGGAATTTGAAGGTTTTTTGTATGGCATTTGTTGGAAGTAAAGTTTTTTTGCATCACAAGTCCCGTTCTTTTATATCGAGGCACGGTAAACAACGACCTGTATTAAGAGTATGTTGTACTTGGTAAATATTTTATGTCTTTTAAGCGAATACCAACTACCGTGGATGCATGTGTTGCACGAGAAGTCGTGCTTGTTTAGTTACGTGATAGAAGGTTACAAAGTGGGTGGAAGAAATTGTTTCGTCACTCGAGGTCTACGCGTTACTCAGGCGAGTAGCTTTGCCTTGGTTGTATTTTCATTGGAGACAAGGCCAAATTTGAGTTACACTGTCACCAGAGGACATCCACATTAGCCACAGGGTACCGCGTTACCCACCCTCTCCACAGACCTCCGGCATGGACCATCATCGTGATGTTTGTAAGCATCCCATCCAAACGATCCTTACTCTCACAGAGGGCTAAGCTGAAAGAACTACAGACAGGATCGTCCAGAGTCTTCATTAACGAAGACCTAACAAGAACAAGGGCCAAACTGGCCAAAGAAGCTAGAATTCTTGCCAGGGAGAAAAGGGGTGAGTCATCCTGGGTGACCGGGGGAGTCGTCCTTATCAAAATGAAGGATGGAGGACTAAGGAAGGTATCCAACGACATACAGTTCAAGGAAGTATGTGAAGAAACCAGGCTGACGATGACGATACAGTTGAGCCAGGGAAATAAGTAATATACTGTCATTATGAAGATTGTGATTCCCATAACATTACTGTGGAAGTTACACACAACACCAAATCCACGAAGGATTGTATATCAAATACGCTGTGAACAAACGATCTTATAAGTGTTTAATGTGCTATCAGAAGCTATTGAGCTTCTACCTGTATGGATGAGTCAATGGAAATTCACATAGTCATTGATATTCATGGATGTTACATGTTCTATAATAATCCTCTGCAGGAAATACATGTTCATAAGGAACACTGGTATGTGTACTACATGGGATCGTTGGAATTATCATGTACATGATTATCATTCTCACGTGAGTATTCTTATGAACTACAATATTGCAATGTGATTGTCACACTGTTGTGATGAACATCAATCTTTGTACAAAGTACAATAGAGCAATATATTCAACTGACTCATTATGAAAAGACACTTCCTGTTATCTTCTTACTATACCAGTACAATATATTTGATATCTTTGCTATAAATGCACAAGTATTTTGGTGTCTATAGTGTTATAGCGATGAACGGTTGACATATTCTGCTCGAAGTAAAAGTAGAAACTTACAATTTAATCTCAATGAGATTAGATTCAATTGGAACACACTAGTTTACATTCCAAAGTTATGTTCACAAGTTTTTGAGTCTGTACTGAGTGAGCAAAATTGTTCCACTTCCGGTTGTCGTGATGACTATGATCAGCACCAACTGCCAGAGTCCACGTCAGCAGGAACGGAGGCATCATACAGGGCAGTGTTTGATGAGACCTCCACCAAGATCCGGATCATAAGAAGTGACAGCATATCTCACAGGTACTCCCTTGTGGAAGCTGGCAGTCTTATTGCTCCAGATCTTGTTGTGGGTGAGCCAGTCCTGGTTAACCCGTGTTCCTATGCTGCCATGCATGTAGTACTCAATAGAATCCTACAGGACTCTGGGATTGGCGTATCTCGGTCATGGGTTGTAGTTTGGTGCGATGGGTTGCCTTATAATTTGGCTTCAAGAGTCATTACGAATACGTTCAACTGTCCACTGTGTGATCGAAGGGAGATCTCTGGGTGTGAGGAGTTCAAAGGACATGTGCTGAGGGAACACAATCAGACGATTGCAGATGTTGCTGATCACCGGACATATGGCTGTTGCTGGTTCCCGGTCCAGGTCACATGGAGATCAACATGACCAAGGCCACGTTCAAACTGCTTTGGCATGTTGTTCCTCAAGAACTTGGTAAACAGCTTGGTTTCAAATCTGCCAAGGCACAGGCCAGTTGTCAGACTGTCTGACCATCACAAGGCCTGGCAGATGATTGATGTGTTGTTTTGGGGAACAGGAGCTGAGCTCATAGTGCCATATGTCAGGGACTGTCAGCGCTCTGGAAGCCGGCCTGATGTTGCTGGGTTCGGGGAGTGGTTGTCCAACAGAACGGACAAGAACTTCGTATTCCTGGCCGATGTCATCTTCACATATGTCATGGCCTTGTTCTTGTTCCGTTGTGGCATACGAAGGGGTAACCATTCTCTTGCGCTTCAGTCCTACAGCAGGTTTTCAGACTTGTTCTTTGGCCTTAACATGACCCAGTACCAACAGCTGTCCCTTTTATATCACCACACCCTGCGTTCCTGCCCTGACGTCATCCACTCCTTCCTCAAGGACAACCTGTCCTACTCCGCCAGTGGAGCAGATGACCGCGGAGAAGGAGCTGACTTCATCCTTGAGGCTAAGAACAGAAGGATCCAGATGTGGATGCCCCCTGGTCTACCTACGCCTCACCACTGGCAACGGATCTGTCGAAACCTCGACACACTTGATTCGGTAAGCATTGACAAATAACAAACAAATGTTCTCTATGTTCTATGTTTACTACAGAAGAAAGGAATTTTTGACAGTGATTTCAGGTGTCTGCCTGTCACCACGAAGCCGAGGCATCGGAAGTGGGCCCAGTAGCTGCACTGCTGGATGTCACATCCTACCCATGGTCCCTTTTCCTTGTCCCCTTCCCCGTCTCTTTCAATGCCACACTCGGCGCATCTGTCACAGTCACCTTGCCTGAAGGATGACAGTGTTGTCTGCGTCATCCGTGCCTCGGTGACTGTCACAGTGCGCCGATGTGGGGAAGGGAAGTCGGGAGTGGGATCATGGGTGGTGGCAGTATCTGGCACTTTGTGGGAAACCTGAAACATAATGTTGGCAATCATTTCATGCATTGGCACCAGACACGCTTCATCAAGATCTGTATTGTTCTGAACGTTTGTTTACATTTCTGAACTGACTTGTATTACATTGTAAGAACATATTCAAGTCACGTACAGTGAGATCATCGTACGTCTTTCCTAGTTTGGGCGTGCAGTATTTCCAGTTCTGTTGTGATGAAGTCACCATATGTACATAGCATTCTGTATCGGTCTTTTTGTATAGCTCGTCAATCTGAAACATAACACCAGATTCTGTATATTTCAGATCCGTGATCATATGACTGCAGCGGCCACCTCGAGCAGTCACCACGTGGACCTCTCGAGGGAGACACGTCACTGGCGCCACCATCTGCGACAGTCGGCCTACCTTGGGACCCTTATGTCAACGCGTCCTCATGTGTCTCTCGGAGTGAAGGCATTGGACCTGCATCTGTCGTCGTTCGCCAAGACTTGCCAGGACAACAAGACGAAGTACGTGGAGGCGACGATGTCTGGTAAACCCTTAGGGTCTCATCATCACCTCCAGCGTGTCTTCGTCCCGGCTGGCGAGAGGGAGGAGGCCAGTGATGTCACCAAGAAAACCAACAGCCAGCTGTGTGGTCTGATAGAGGACACCATTGGGCGACTCCACGATGCAGGTGCAGACGACCTTGCCGGTTCCCTGCGACGGGAGTACATGAAGGACGTCAGGACTGGTACCAAGGCAGTGCTTCCGACTTTCCTCCAGAGGGCTGGTGATACTTCGACAGCGGTGTTGGAGCAGGAGGAATCTCATGAACGTGCAGGTCAGTGATTTTGGTCAATTGTATTTTATATCATGTAATTGAAAAGGCGTGGATTCTTACCTTCTTCATGATTGTTCGTTTGCGGACACTGAGACAGCTGGCCCTTGCCTTGGCGTCGGCTATGTAGGTCGTTGACACCTTACCGGTGTGATGTTTTTTCACGGTCTTTTTTCCCTTTACATTTCCGCCAGGATTGATTTTCCTCTTCCCAAACTGATAAACTTTGGCTTCCTACAAGCATCACCATTATATCATTAATGTTATATCTTACAGATGCTGATGTCCTCATGACTTACATATCATGTGCTGTTTATTTCAGATGATGCACCCGGGCACTAATTCTGCACCCAGACAGCCAGCTGTACATCGTTTGCCAGACAGTACATGTTTTCAGTTGTACAGTATTATCAATTGTATATACAGAGCAACTTGTCGATTAATGTTATGGGCTTTGTAACAGCGATGGCATTGTTATGACTTATTTGTGTGTACATAATTCACTATTTTATGATTAGTAGTTTAAATTCACAACTGTCATTGTTAGTGGCTGTATCCTCGAGGGGGGTTAAGGTACTGTAAAATTATTGTCCTCCTGAGAGGGTATGTAAGTCCCAAAACAATAATCGTACATTTAAACGTACTACTATTTTTAACCGCAGCATATGTGTTGTTTTAATGGCTGGCTAGCTTGTCCACAATTGCTAACATCTCAGGGGATGGTATAAATGCAGCTAGGGTTCATGCAGGAAGCAAATGTACTGTAAGTCCCCTTGGGCCCTGGTATGGTGATCTCCCTTCAGTTGTTGGCAATCTTTAGCCTGTTTTTATCATTTACTGTCCTCTATGCTTCACATATTTGCGACGTTAATACTACTTTTCCATTGATAACTGTGATATTCTATTTGTTTTCATGTCCTTTGTTGACACGTTTTGCAGAGAATTAGACACAATTCATAGCAATGTACCACTTACTCACCTTATGGGTGACGTATTGACAATTTGACTTTTCAATCACTCACTCACTCATAATTATCAATAGTATTTGTGTTCTCTAAGGACTTTCTTGTGCATTACTGCACTTGTGCATTCTCAGTTGTCATCAGTTCAGTGGGTAAATATGTCCATTGCAGTCTTGTTCATAGCAATCTCCAGTTGTCAACATTATGTAATTTCATCAGCAATAACTCTTTTTGTCACTCATAACTGTTCTTGAACATCTGTAATTTCACACATGTGCAATGTTTCTATGATTTTAGGAATAAATTTTTACAAATGTTGTGAATGGGTTTTCCTTGCATCAGTTCAATCTTATCTGTATTTGTTCACCGCTAGTTCCTTGGACTTCCATCGTGAATGGTTCACATGCACGATTTCCCCCGTATTTATGTGCATTCGTGACAGTTCGATTACCAATCCTGGGTATGGTTGCATGGGGCTGTGGGATTGTGACAAATGACAACCATTGATGCACAGTTGCAATGAACACACATCAAACAACAACAAAATCCACAAACATTTTCCATAACACACACAGCAAATAACAACTCATTCGCTAAAACACACAGTGTGACAATTTTTATTGCAAACTACACAACTGATTCAGTATTCACGCGACAGGTCGTTGTGGCCCTCACTGGGCTTGCATAGTTTTTTTGTTTATTCGTGTAACGGTAGTGCAAAACCAAAAATAAACTCACAACGAGTACAACGAACTCGGGAAAAGACAACTTTTTCATTTGTACGCCAAAAACCTGCCTACGAAAATCATCGCCTCGCGGCGAAGAAATACTAAGTATTTCAATGGAAAACACGCAATCGGCGAAAAAACATAACCTTTTCGTAATCGCTAGATATTCCGCTTTCGCATTACAACATCTCAAATGAAATGAGTTGATGATTTTACCTGCCATACACGACTTTATTGGAAAATTAGCGGTATCGAGTGATCGAGGCCACCATGTTTGTCCTTCACCTTCAATAGACTCGCACCAACGACGAACTACTCTCTGATTGGATGAGCAAGGCCGATAACTCTATTCCATACAGGTAGTTAGTGGCTTCTCAGTTCGTCAATTTCATAAAGTATGAGCTGCTTCGAGATGGTTTACGAGTGGCTGTGACTTGCACGACAGGCATTGCTTGTGCAAACTTCGAGGTATCTTCAACCTAGTCAGTGCACTCTCACATTTACACTTTGGTTTATTATCTGATGTCATTTCATCAAAATAAATTTCGGAATGCTTCTCTTCATTACCAGTAAAACTGATCCGTTGTTGGTGTTAATTCCCATAGTAATCATGGAAATGAAATGTATTTAGCTGTCACTGTTTATTGTAATTTACATGGAGAAATGAATACATTTTAACTTGAAAGGGGAAAGCTGATATAACTTCTTGAACACATTTTGTGTAGAACATACATTAGATATATTTAATGAAGTGTTCACTCTAGACTGTTGGAACTTGAGTGCAGTAAGATGAAACTTTATATCTATCTTCAGCATCGGTTCTGTGGGATCAAGGATGGACGGCATTCACTGGAGGAGTTGAAGGTACTATTGCAGTCTCAAGAAGCAGCGAAACAACGGCTTCAACAGACAGATGTTCTCATAATAGATGAGATATCTATGTTAAGGTACCAAATCCATTTTTTTGGTTGATATTCAGGGATTTTTTTATTTAAATTAATCATAATGCAATGATTATTTGTGTTTGGAATCAACTGTGCATTAATATGATAATAATTACTTACATGATTATGATTCAACATTGAAATACTGAGGTTTTATCACCTGTTACTTATGAAATGGCACTGCTAAAGTTACAATTTCATACAAAATACATAAGAATATAATAATAATTATAATAATAATGTTTTATCATTAATATATAAGAAAGTCTTGTTAAAGTAATTACACTTTGTAATACTTAATATCTAGCTATATGTTTCAGCTACAAGATGTTGTGTCAAGTGGAAGCTGTATGCAGAAGTGTGAGGAAAAGTGAAACAATGTTTGGGGGAATTCAAGTTATTGTGAGCGGAGACTTTTGGCAGCTTCAACCAGTTCCCAACACCCTCTACCTGGATGAGGGACATTTTGCATTTAGGTGTGTAATTTCAGTTAATAATGCAGCTGGTCATGGTGAAATGACAGGTTGAAAGACATATTGTACATGTTCTATAATCCAATCCAACATATTTGCCCCTTCCCTTGGTTGCCCAGTTCCTGTTCGGTTCAGGTAGCACCACTACATTACATACAGACTTATATGGTGTATATTTCCTGTTCGGTTCAGGTAGCACTACATCACATACAGACTTATATCATGTCTATTTCCTGTTCGGTTCAGGTAGCACTACATCACATACAGACTTATATCATGTATATTTCTTGAATTTCTACACACACCCTTTTCCACAACAAATATGCATGAAATGATAAAATCATTTTTCTTGCAAAGTATCAATGCATGGATAATATACTTAGGAGTACAATAAGCAAAGACATTTAAACTGAAATAATATTTGTTTGCAGTGGCCCACTTTGGAATGATGCCTTTCCACATCATGTCATCCTTGATGAAGTTGTGCGTCAAGACGAAACGGAATTAATTACAGCAGTTGCAAAACTAAGTCGGGGCATTTTGTCCCAGGATACAACAGACTTTTTGGAGAGATTGGATCGTCCAATTTCTGAAGAAATGGAAGCAGTTCATTTATTCTCCAACAACCAACAAGCTGATATATGGAATCAGATGAAGATTTCACCATTACCAAGTGAGCAAAATCAACATTATTTTTTCAGTCTACATGCTGTTACTAAGGGTCTCAATGTTAATAAGTCAAAAATTATCTTCTGTGGCAGAAGACAAAATCATTTCTTTAAAGATTTTCAGTTAACCCATATCAGATTAGTTTCAACACGTTCACATGATTGCACTGTATACTTTTATTTTTTTATGATGGAAATTTCAGTAATACATACGTGTGACTACTTGATTGACCATAATATACTCAAAAACAAATATTATTTATAGCATACTATCCTAGTATGGAAAATTTGGAAGGTTTCATGTGTATATGAATAACATGTAATTATCAGGGCAGAAAATATACACTAGCCCATAGGCTAGAAGCTATTAAAACATACCCTGGGCTAGTGAAAATTAAATACTTCTAGCCCTGTGGACCTTTAAAGAATTTCTGAATGTAACCAAATCATTAGTACATCTGACCTACAGCAATGTGAAATTGTGAATAATCAGGAGTTTAAAGGAGTATTGTGGTAGTTTAACTTTTGAGTTCACCTGCAAAACTACTTGAATATTTTCTGGGCTAGTGTTTTTGATTGCAGGCTAGTTAAAATAAAAGCCACTAGACCATCTGGCTACAATGTGTTTTTAGTTCGTTTCCTGATTACCATCCCCTATGAGTCCATATTAATTATATGTACCGATGTTCCACTTAATACTTCGTTTCATGAGACTTGAAAGTATTTCACAGTGATGACTGGGGGACAAGAAGAAACTGGATAAACTTCTAATTCCAATGATTTTATGGATAAAACCTGGGTGCAAAGGTATGGACAGTACATGCACATGTTTGTTTCAAGAAGACTGCAAGGTGACTGCGAACTTTTCATTCAGTGGACAAGGTTATTTCACTCTGGAACGACAGAGACAGCACACACTGATGAGGTATGCAACTGTCTTGATGCAGCGGTTAACTTTGTTGTGGATATTGAAGCGATGTACATTGACTTTGTGGAAACACTGTCGAGAGTGTTGTCTCGACAATTCCTGAGGGATATTCTTGAATCCTGGCAGGTTAAAAAGAAAGAGGCTCACAGAAAAGACATTAAAATTGGTAAAAAAATGCATGAGAAATCTGAAGAATTTGGTGAGACTAGTACAGCATCCACAAAAGCTAAAGGTAGGGGGAAAGGTCGTAAAGGCAAAGGAAAAGGCAAAGGGAAGAGTGAAAGGAAGTGGTGGTACAACGACAATTGAACCAGAATTCCCCTGTGGCATATGTGGATCAGAAAGTTTTGATAACTGTGTATCATGTGACTTCTGTGAGAAATGGTATCATGCAGAATGCCTACAAATATCTGACTTAGATTCACTTCCTGAGGAATGGTTTTGTCCACAGTGCAGTTAACTTAGTAAGATGTGTCTTACTTTGTGTTGTGAATGAACACTGCTGAAGTTATTAATGGTGATTGACCATCATGTCATAATTTACGAATATCAAGTATTGTTAGGATCAATCTTGTATCAATACCCCTAAGTGTGGTCAAAGACTTTACAATGTCAATTTTGTGTTTCTCATTGTAAAGACAAACTTACATGTGCCAAATATATTTTAGATTTTCTCTATTTATAGGTACTTTTTATTTGTATGTGCTAGTGTGAAATCCTGTATGACAGTTGAAGGTAATGAAGAATTGCGGTCCATTTGTCCATTTTCAGTTTATCAGTGTTTACGGTACTTAAAATGCTGTCAATCCAGTGGACTGGCCACCTACTAAATTACCAGTCCTGTTCAAGTTATGTCAATCCAGTGACTTTCAAGACATACATTTG